GCTCTCTGAGCTGTTATTAACTTGTGTGATTTTTAGAAACATGCATTGATTGCTCTCCCACTGTTTTCCCTTGTGAAGTAATGTGTGTCCCTGGACGGTGTTAGGGCTGGTAAAAGGTGATGAAACAGCCCTCCTATTTTGTACCGCCAGAGTGTTCTCTTCATTAAAATAAAGTTTTTTAAAAATAAAATAAAATAAAAAAGTTGTATGCCCCAGTTGTGCTTATCCCATCTTGATGTCACCTTCCATCCAGTTGGGCTGATCTCAACTCCGGCCTCTCCCTCGTTCCCCAAATCAATTTGCACCTCCTCCATGTGGTGGTCTGTGTGATCCCAGACATGGCCGCATGGCTTATTCTGTACCTGAAGACTCTCCCTACTGCCCTGGGACCAGGTGCTGTTAGTCAGCTCCATTTTATCGACAAGGAAACGCATAGTCAGAGAGGTGGAATAATCTGGTTTACATCAGGGGTTCCCCGAATTGCCCATTGTTTTAGTCCATTTGCGCTGCTGTAACAAACAGCTGTACACTGAGTGACTTAAACAACAGACATTTATTCCCCACAGCGCTGGGAAGTCCAAGATCAAGGCACCAGCAGATGTGGTGTCTGGTGAGAAGCTGCTTCCTGGCTCACAGACAGCTGTGTTCTCACTGTCCTCAGTGGCGGAAGGGGTGAGGGAGCTTTCTGGGTTCCCTTTTATAAGGGCACTAACCCCATTCATGAGGGCTCCACCCTCACGACCTAATCACTTCCTAATGCCACCACATTGGGGGTTCAGATTTCAACATATAAACTTGGGGAGGGGACACGAACATTCAGACTATACCACCCCCTCATCAGAACCACCAGGAAAGCTTTGGAACGCTACAAATTCCTGGGTCCCAAATGGTTAATGTTGCTTACCCAAGGGCTAGTAATGTTTGGAAAGCACTGCCCTTCTCCACGCTAGGTTTGGATATGTCAGTAGAAAAATAACAGTGATGAGGACTCTCTGAATATCTAGATCAGGGGTCAGAAAGTAAATATTTTCAAGTTAGCAGGCTATATGGTCTTTTTTTCAGCCACTCAAACTCTGTCATTGTATTGTGAAAGTAGCTATAAACATAGGTAAACAAGTAGATGTGGCTGGATTTGACCCACTGGGCCATAGTTTATCTCCTTTAATCTAGATAATTAGTCTTGTGCATGATGATCAGACAGGCACTTGAACTTGCTACTCTCCAGGGGATGTTTGGACTTGTGTAAGAATATGCTGCAAGCATACAGTCCATTTAAGATGTATCAGAGTCCCTACTACAAAGACCTCTAAAACATTAGCTTGAACAAATTAGAGGTCAACTTTCTTCTTCTGTTAAGAAAAAGGTTTTGAATAGATAGTCTGGTATTTGGTATGGTGGCTCCCTAATGTCATCAGAGACCCACAGTCCTTTTGTCTTTTTATTTCCATTCTCAAGATTGCCTCATGATCATAGTATGGCTGTTGGAGCTCCAGTCATCACATCTGCATTTGAGAAAGAAAGAAAAAGACAGGGAGAAAAGTAAAAAGGCACTTGTCAGCTGAGTCAGATCTCTCCAAAGAGCTTTCTTAGAAGCCCCAAACAGTGATTTTTGCTTACATCTCATTAGCCTCTCTTATCTGCAAGGGAAACAGGAATATGTAGCTGGACTTTTTTTTTTCCTGAACACATTGCTGTCCCCAGAAATATTGGGGGAATTGGATACTGGATGGGCAGCTAGCACTTGCTGTGACTTGGGAGGATGCAAAGAATGCCCCAGATGTGCTGCAAACTGATTCATCATGTCTCAGTCTATGGAGACTGAATGCCTGAAGCCCCTGTTCTCCACAACTAACCAGGCCTTTGTAGGCAGTTTTGGGATCTAACGTATCCTTCAGTGTGATAATCAGATCCTTGCGTAACTGTAGTAGCTGTCCTATCAGGTATCTTACCACTGCTTGGACACTCAGTGCCAAGAACCCTGTTGAGACATACCTTTTCCTCTCTAGGCAGCTTTGGCTGCTATAAAGTTCTTTTCTGATGAAATCTGTCTTTCTCTAGTTTCCATCTGCTAGAAGTTTGCCTCCTGGAATCATCCAGAACATACCATCTTGGTCTTTCCTCTTCCTTATTATAACCTTTTCAGGAATTTAGAGATTTCTACCTCCTGCATCTCAAGGCTCAGGTTGTCCTCCTCCAATGTCTTCCATCTTCCTTCAGCTAATTTGGCTGCAAATCAGCTCCCAAGGCCTGCGCTTCTAATCTTTAAGGTGTGTATGAATCACTTGGGGTTCTGGTTAAAATGCAGATTCTGAGTGGAGCCTGACATGTTGCATTGATACCGTCTCACCACGTGATGCCGATGCTGCTGGTATGTGGACCACACTTTGAGTAGCAAGTGATCTGAATGTGTTTCAATTCATCTTTTAACAGGTAGCAACCAAAACCTAATTTGGTAAGGTCGATTTAGAATAGAGCAAGACTCGTCATCTCCTTTTTTCTGGAAGTTATCATGTACCTTTTTATGAGGTCTAAAGAGTACATGGGCTGTTTGCTGGCCCTTTCACACTATTCACTTAGCTTGAATTTACTAAAATTTTTGTCTGTGTCCCACAGGCCATTGCTGTGCCGTATCTCCCCCATCTTACACTTACGGATTTGTTTTTTCGGATTGTCTTATAAAATGTGACACTGATCTTTTTGAATTTCATCATATTGCATTCGACTCATCCCTCAGGCCAGTTGAGATCACTTGGTATCTGTCATCCAGTACATTTACTGTCTCTCTTCTCCTGGGGGCCTCTAACAGACTTGATAGGCCTCTATTTCTCCATCTAATTCCGCTGAAAACTTCCATCCATTAACTGAACTTCTTTGGTTTAAATTCTCCTTCCTTCACCTTGTTCACAGAATATCATGAGAGACCTTGACGGTCACCTTACCAAAGTTCAAATGCACGCATTTGGGGATACAGAGTGGTTTTTATGTAGAGGCAGAATTTATCATTCACATTAGAGATGCCTACTTTTATACTTGAAAGGGGTTTTAAGACGTGTCTTGACGTTCAGTGAGTGCAGATTACGATAGTTATTTATCATCGAAGACTTTACTCTCTGGGCTGTTCTTGACTCATGTAACTTTTAAAAATGCATTGATCTCTCTCCCGTTTCTCTGTTTGGCTTTGAGCTGTAGTTGCCATGTGTCCCTGGAAGGTATAAGGGCCTGTGAAAAGCTGATGGAACGGCCCTTACGTTTTGCATCTGCGGAGTGTTCTCATTAGAGTTATGTCTTGATTAAAATAAAGAAGTCTTATGCCTGGGTTGTGTTTATCCCATCTTGATGTGACCTTCCATCCAACTGGGCTGAGATCACCTCTGGCCCCCTCCCTGCCTCCTTCCCCAGATTGAGTTCCAACCCTCCGTGTGGTGGTCTGTGTGACCCCGGGCATGGCCGCACGGCTTGCATGTCCGAACGTCCACCACACCACCTTGGGAGGAGGTGCTGTGAGTCAGCTCCGCTTTACAGATGAGGAGGCACGTAGCCAGCGAGGATGACTGGCCTCTCACCAGCAAGCCGTCCCTGCTACAATATGCACGTGACAAAAGCATGAGAAATGCGTCTCTGAGGTTAATCGGGCTGTCGGCCTCTGCTGATATTGGGAACACGACGTACAGCGTGTTGTTCCTGTAGCCTGCCTGTGGAGTCCTTCTCTTGTGGACCCATTTGTTCACTGAGCACACTGAGTCCCTGCTCTGTGCTAGGCACTGGGCCTCCAGGCTCAGGGGGTGGATGCGGCTCCTGCCCTCGCAGAGCTGTTTTCCTGGGTGGAGCGTTGCCTGAATCCCACTCCTCTGTCATGACAGTTTCAAGAGACGTTGACATTTTCTTTCTCTCTCCTTTTCCTGAAAGGTCTACGTCCGGATAAAAGATGACGAGTGGAACGTCTACCGGCGGTACACAGAGTTCAGGAGTTTACACCACAAGTTACAGAACAAATACCCTCAAGTGAGGGCCTACAACTTCCCACCCAAAAAGGCCATTGGAAACAAGGTAGGTCCCGTCACCGAGGAGGCCGGGCAGCCCGCGCGCTGCTGCCTGCACCAAGGCAGACGAGTTCCCCTTCTTTCAGGTGGTGGTTTCAACGTGCGTGCTCCTGTAAACTCATAACTCAACAGATTGGCTAAAATAAGAAAAAATGGGAAGGAAGGAAACAGTCACCCATAATCCCACCACCTGCAGATGATCGCGTTATGTTTTGTTTGTATGGGTCGCATGGATCTAGGGGAGGGCACACACTTGTTCTGTTAAAGGGCCAGAGAGTAAATATTTTTGTTTTCATGGACCCGACCACGTCCGCTGAAAATACACATCTCCGCCGTTGTGGTAGCGGTTGCAGACATTGTGGACGCGCGTGGGTGTGTCTGTGTGCCAATAAAACTTTATTTATAGGAAGAGGTAGCAGCTGGATTTGGCCTGTGGGACATAGTTTGCTGACTCCTGTTCTGGAAAAAAAAATGTTTTCTAGTTTTCATCCTTAGCTTTCATGATGCTTGTTTGGACTTAAGAAAGTGGAGTTACTTCCCAAGGAAAACTTCCTCGGAGGAGCTCCTTCTATTGCAGCCTCATAAAGGTTAATGATTGATAATGACCTAGCTTGTTTCTGTATATTTATCCAAGTATCCTGGGGAAAGGAGGTGCCACCCCTCCACAAGCTTGCCGGTCAGTCAGCGTTCATTCATTCGGCTGGCATTTACTGAGCACCAGTTAAGTGCCACCGTGCCAGGGTCACCGAAGGCAACAGCCAAGCCTGGCATTGCCTGCTGCAGCCAGTAGGCGTGACTTCTTCATCCTTCATGTTTGCAGCAATGCTGCACCTTGGCTGTGCTTTGGATCACTCGGTAGGCTGTGAGAACCCTGAAACCTACCCACTCCCCACCCCCGACCCCCATTTTGAGTTAATTGGTCTGGAGTCAGGCTTGGCCACTGAAGGGTTTAAAATCTCTCCAGGTGATTCCAGTATGCAGCCAAGCTGGCGAACCCTTGGCTCCGAGTCAAGTAGGAGACAGGGTCACTTCGTCACTTTCAGTGCATGAACCAGCTTGGTAGAGACAGTTGAATCAGAGGAGGTAAAGCTGACCCTTCCCCGGACATGGGAGAAGCCGGGCCTTGTGCTAGAGGCATCCTTCCACGACGGAGGTTCTCAAAGCGTGGCCTCTGAGCCGTTGCATCGGCCTCACCTGGAGCTTGATGGACACACGGATCCACAGCCTGCACTCCCCTCCCCCCGCCCCAGGCTCCAGGTCTGAGCCCCGTGCACTGGCTTGAACAAGCCCTTGGGGCGGTGCAGGTGCCAAAGCAGCGTGGCGCCACGGCACTGTCGTGTGGACGAAGCCCTGCGCGGGTTCCACAAGCGATGGCTTTCCTAGTTCTTCTCTCTCAGAGGCTCCTTGCCTAGGCTTCCTTGTAGTCCTTTTGTTTGTTTTTCTCAATTTAGCTTTATTTTTTTTTATTGAAGTATAGTCAGTTTACAACTTTGTGTCAATTTCTGGTGTGCAGCATGGTGATTCAGTTATACGTACATATGTATATATTCCTCTTCAGATTCTTTTTCATTACAGGCTGTTATAAGATACTGAATATACTTCCCTGTGCTGGAAGTAGGACCTTGGTGTTTTATCTATTTTATATCCCTGCAGTCTTTATTACAGAAAACCAGAGCAAGAGTTTCCACGGCCCACTCCCAACACTGGGAATTCCGCAGAGAAGACTGTTACCGACTGTTACGCTTACATGTTCGGAGATTTCTGTGTGTGAACCGAATTAGAAGTCTGATCACATCAGGGCTGCTGGATCATGATTTAAACAGTTATAAAGCAGGTTTATTTCAGGTCCAGAATAAATCTGCCATTCCATTTTTTTCTGTTAAAGAAAAGTGGAGTTAAGCTTACAAAACAGAAGACTTAGAAATTCTGCACTTGTTCACAATGTAGTTTAAGGAATTCTCACCTGTACTCAAAGAGTACAATAATTCTTACGAAAAGAAGTGTGGGGTTATTATATACTGATTTAATCTAACGGCTTGCAGGCTCATACAAATCTCGGGACCCATCCAAAAAGTCTTAAAATGTCGTAAAACAAAATTCGACGTAACCAGCGTATTATCATTAGGGGACGTTCTCGTTTCCAGAAACGTTGCACTGAGGTGGCCCTTCCATGTCACCTTCCTCAGCGGACGGGGCCTGTCTGCGTCTCACTGAGGGAATTAGGACAAGGCTGAACTGGGGACACGTCTGTCTTTCACTGTGTTTCCACTTCCTATGCCTGCGATAACAAATTACCTCGCGTTTCGGTCTAAAACGATCCAGGTTTATTATCTTACAGTTCTGGGGTCAGAAGTCTAAAACGGATCTCACCAGGCTACGATTACAGTGTGGGCAAGGCTGTGTTCCTTCTGGAGGCTTCAGAGGAGAATCCATTCCTTGCCTTTTGCACCGTCGAGAATCCCCCCATCCCCCACATTCTTTGGCTTGTGACCTCTTCTGTCTTCAGAGCCGCAGTCATGTCACTCTGATCTCTGCCCCGTCAGCATAGTCGCATCTCTTCTGATTCCTCTTCCTCTAATAAGGACCCTTGTGTGCCACCGTCGCACCCCCCCACCCCAATAATCTATGATCATCTCCCGTCTCAAGTTCTGCAAAGTCCCTTTTTCATGTAAGTGCTACTCGGGCCCTGGGATTAGGCTGTGAACACCGTTGGGACCCACACATTGCTGAACGCTTTCTCTGTAACCCGAAGCAACTCCCTCCCCACCTTTTCTCTTCTCAAGCCTTGGAGTTATGCAAAATCTATAAGACAAGGCAGAGCTACCAAGAACGCCACCAGCCCTAAGTCCATTAGTGTGCGAGGCTCAGAGTTAGTGAGATGAAGCTCGGGCCCTAGGACTTGGGGAGCTTTCTGGAGTTACGTGATTTAGACAGAACACGAATCAATCTGATCTCTCCTGTACCAGATGCAGGGACTGAGAGTGAGTGTCCCCTCCAGCGTGGGTCACCTGCAGCCCTGCTCTCAGTCCTCCCATCCCGGTCCCTTCGGAACTGACTTTCAGCAGCAGTGGCCTTTTTGCCTGAGAAATCTGTATCCATAGGGCACCCAGCACAACCCTGTTTGCAAATAAATGAGCTCAGAAGTAAAGGTACCACCTTGCTGGGCCTGGCCCAGTGATGACCGGCTTCTGCAGGTGCACTGGCTGATTCATAACTAGATCTTTGTTCCTGCTCCCATGGTCAGGCATGGATCTGACAGCTAAGAATCTGACAGCTCAGAGCCATCAGGGGTCCTTGGCCTCCCATCTAGCCTGCGTGGCCCTTTAGCTTTTAATTGGCTGGTTGGGTCCTGACTATAATCTGACATATCTGCTTCCCTTGAGTACAGTTTGGCCGCCACCCAGGACAGATCTGAGGGTCTGTCTGGTTTTCGAGGGCAAAATGAGTCAGGATTCAGGGCTTCATTGCCCAGCAGAGGCCACTGGGGAGCTCTGGTGAGAGACCACTGGGCCTCACCACTCAGGAAACCTACTTTGATGCCCTGAGGGCAGATTTTCTAGAGAGCTTTGATTCTAAGTGGGCCCCCCAAAGTGTCTCACATCAGAACCTTTTGACTGGATCACTTCAAGAATGATCCGCTTGCCCACTTGGACCATGAAGGTGTATAGACGCATCTTTGGGTGGATCAAGTTATGTGCACCTAACTCCACCAACCCACAACTGGTACACCAGGTTCTGTGGCCTCCACTTTTTAGTGGTTCCAGTTCACCTGCCTCCCTCCCTCCCTGCTTAGATTACCCTAACCCAGCCATTGTCATCTCTGGCATCAGACCTCCCATGGCTGCCTTTTCCCATTCTTGCGCTGCCTACAGTCCATTCCCACGCCACAGCCGTGGTGAGGTTTGTATGACACCAATCAGATGGAATCGCTGTTAAGTAAAACCCACCAGTGGTGCCAGTTAAATTCAGGACTCTCTACTGTGGCCTATGAGGTGTCCCCTGATCTGTGCCCCACTCCCTCCCCTGCCTTATCTCCTGCCCCACTCCTCTCCCCCTGCAGACCCAGCCACACTGACCTAAGGCTTCCATGCCATTCTCGCCTCATAGTCTTTGCACCGGCTGCTCCCTCTGCCTGAAAGCTTTTTTCCTGATTTCTGAGTGGACAGCTCCTGCGACTCGTGAGGTCTCAGCTCAGTTTCACTCCTCCGAGAGGGGCCTTCCAAGCGTCCGCCCTTGTTAATGCTACTCTCTAGCCCGACTCTGTTTTCGTTTTTCCTGACATCTCCTAGCACGTACTATGAGTGGAAGTGATTTATTTGTGTACTTGAGTAGCATCTGTCTCACTGCACTGGAGTGGAGGCTCATGAAACGGGGCCTGGGTCTGTTTCTGTTCATTGCTCTCTCCACCTCCTAGAATAGAACCTGACACACCAGAGATACTCATGGCTGGAATTAATGAATAAACAAGCAGAAATTAAATGGAGAGGTTTCCCTTTTATCTTCTTTACTTCACTGGGTCTTGGCACAAAATCAAAAAAATCTAAATTACAGAAGTGAGTAGAATAACTTTCAGGGCATCTTTGGAGGTTGTTCTCCACTTTGGGCTGAGTATTTTTCGCAGGGCAGGCAGGAGCCCGGCAAGCCTCTGCAGATGGCCGCGCTGGCTGTCTCGAGATCTGAGGGAGTCGCCTGGGAGCTCCCTGCCCACACGGATCTCGCTGGCACTTGGGCTTAGATGGAAGGCGTGCTTTTGATGATGCTACTCAAAGTCTACATTATTGCTCAGTGAGCAAATGAGAATTGAGAGACTGTCGTTCGTTCTTAGGATAATGGGGTCAGTCTCTGAAAGTTCATTTGGCATTAAGGCTAGGCAGATCACTTTCCTCCGAGCCGCAGATAATTCAACTTGTTGGAGAAATTATGCATTAAAATTCTCATTAAAAGCACATACACCCGCAGTGGAGGAACTGATGGGCACTTGCTGAGCCGTGGAAAGCGCCTTTGCAGCTCCAGGAGAGGTGCCGATTTGAATGCAGCCCTGGGGACGGCAGGACCCGGTGGGGCTGCGGGTGGAGACGGTGGCAGGAACAAGGGACATCTGGAGGAACGCGGAGGCTGGTGAATTCTTCCATTTGGCAAACACGTCCAGAGTGCAGGGGTGTCACGCTAGGTGCGGGGAGTTGGAGATGATTTAAAGTATGCTCTGTGCCTCCACGAAGTTCATGGTCTGGTAGTGGGAAAGACTAGTGAGTCAGTTCTCATACGGGAGTCCTGTGAGCCAGGCCAAGGTCCCAGTGCATTTGGGGTCTTGGAGAAGAGCGAGGAAGGGGATGCAGAGCTGCTTTCTGCAGAGGGGAAATACTCTAAAGGCCAGCAGGAGTTCTGGCAATAAACCTTACATGAGGGAGCAGGTGGGGAAGCGGGCAGCTCAGGGGACGTCCTTCCCGTCCGTGTGCCTGTTTCTTCTGTGCAGCTTGTGTTCGCTTCTTATGGCTGCCTGAACAAATAGCACAGAGCTTAGTGGCTTTAAAAAACACACATTTATTGTCTTACAGTTCAGTAGGTCAGAAGTCTCACACAGGTCTCACTGGGCTAAAGTCAAGGTGTCAGCGGGCTAGTTCCTTCTGGAGGCTCTAGGAAAGAGTCTGTTTCCTGGCCTTTTCCAACTTCTGGAGGCTTCCTGTATTCCTTGGCTTGTGGCTCTGTCCTCTGTCTTCAGTGCTTCATCTCTTGGACCACTTCTGCATAGTCACAACTGCTGACCACAGCAGGGAAAGGCTCTCTGCTTTTGAGATTAGATGTGGCCCAGCTAGATAACCCAAGATAATCTCCATCTCTCAAGGCCCCTAATCCCCTCTGCAAAATCCCTTTTGCCACGTAAGGTATATATTCACAGGTCCTGGAGATGAAGGTATGAACATCTTCTGGGGAGGTATGATTCTGCCTACCTCACACCTCTTTCCTTGCCTGGAGTAGATTACTATTACTACTACCTCACTTCACAGATGGGGAAACGGAGACACCAGGAGGTGAAGGGACGTGTCCAAGGTCATCTCGCTCAGCGGTGTCAAGGCTGATGTATAGGTCCAGGCAGATGGTCTGCAGAGCCCTAAGCCTTCACGCTCTCACACACAAATCTGCTACAGAGGACCCTAGAGGACGAGTGAATGTCCATTATCAAGCCATTGCTCAGTTGGTAGGCATTTATATTGATTCTATAAGTCAATTTCTCAACCTCGTTGGTGCAGAAGTCAGGGAGCCGGTGAGGCCAGGGCCCGTGGTTGCCTCCTCCTTCTGCTGAACCACCCACCTCTCACACTCCACCTGCTCTCACGTGGGGGCCATTTTCAGAGCTGAGAGCCGCTGCCTTCGTAGTCGATCCACAGGCTTGTAAGCTTTCCTGGTGAACCTGAGTGTTTGGAGAGGTGGTCATTCACTGGTATGTTTGTGCATGTATTCATTTAGCAGGACTTCGCCGACCCTTGAGAGTAAAGAAGAAAAGAAAAGGAAAAGAAAAGGTTCCTACTACTTCACTAGCTGTGTGGCCTCTGGCAAGTTACTTGGCCTCTCTGTTCCAGTTTCCCCTTCTGTGTACCAGGGATAGTCCCAGCGCTTCCCTCCTGGTGGTGGTATGAGGGTTTAAAGTGGGAACATTGGTAAAGTGCTCACAACAGCGCCTGCACGTGGTGAGTGCTGCGTCCGGGTTGTTAAAGGGGCGTGCGGGCCGCTGGTGAGATGGAGCAGGCTGACACATAAGTGCAGCCTTACTGCAGAGGACAAGCCTGACGTAAGTACCAAGTCCAGCACCCGCCAACCCTGTATTTCTGTGTGCAGTAATGCCAGCTATCATGTTCTAGGCTTGTCATGTGTATATCATGTATATGTCATGTATATGGAGGCTCTGTATTCATTTTTTATCATGCAGTTCTTATCAAGCCCCATAGAAAATGTCCCATAGATGAGGAAACCGGGCTCAGAGGCTGTGAGCCTCCCCACAAGGTCCCGTGGCTCCTATCAGGAATTGACTCAGACTCATGCTGATGGCACTGTGCCTTCCAGTCAAGAACCCCATAAACTCCCACCCAGATCTGGGAGCTGGCACTGCAGAAAGTCGCGTGTTGACACAGGCTTCTTCGTGGAAATAAATGCATGATCTCGGGGGATTCTGCCAGAAATACCCTCATGTGGAAGAGGATCCAGAAGGCAATGCAAATACCACCACCCAATTGGGACGGAGACACAGGGAGCTCACACACCATCCCCTGCAGCTGAAGGTTTTCCAGAGAGAAATTTGGGAGCGAGAAGCTCCAGCTGAATGAAGCTATAAACTCAAGCTTGTTCCTCATTTGACACTCTGCCAACCACCGTGTAAATAGTCCCGGGACTTAATGTATTAAACAACAAGAAGAAAGAAATTGGGCTTATTACACATCACACATTTGTGCTTCTCCTTAATACAGTAAAAGCCTCTTAAGATATTTTCCAGGAGAGCAGTTGCTGAAGACGTCTTGCCAGAAAAATTGTCTCGAGAGAGACATTGATGAGCTTCAGACCTGAAATTTGCATATGCATACATATGCAGATATGTGTGTGTGTTTAGTAGGTGGGGGTTCTTGGGAGGACTTTTCGAGAATATCAAATTGAAATCCAATGTAAAAATCAAGGTCATTTTATAAACAAATAATTCAGAGCCAGCAACCAGAAGCGTATCTGCTGCTCTGTTCCCAACCTGCATGTTTTCCATGTGTAGCACGTGGAGAGTTTGAGTCCAAGAGAATCATCTTGGTGGTCTCAGATCACAGACTTTGCAGGTCCCACCTCCTCCAGGAAGCCTTCCCTGAACTCAAGAGTGTCAGCCATCCTTCCTCTGTGTTCCTTCCTCATGCTCCCTCTGGGCTGCCTGATGCACAGTCCTTCCCTCCCCCTCCCTCCGCCCAGTTATCCCATGAAATTAGAGAGAAGAATTAGAACAGCTTGCTGAGTCTTTGTCTTCTCAGCATCTCACATAGTGCCTGGCACGTAGTAGGTGCTTAGTTAAACATATTTGATGAATAAATGAATTCAAGCTACATAGAAATCTGTGGGTGAACTCGATCTATTTCTAGTAGTTTGTATGGCTTTCAGTTCCCTTTCTCCTTGGGTCCCTGCACTATTGTAACTTACAGGTCTTTGATCCTTGTGCATAGAAATATCTCAGGCCTTACCTGCTTGCTGAATGTAGACCCAAGAATGAGAACATTTGCAGGAGGGTCTGCAAAGACTTTGCATCAGCCTTGCCTGGTGACACAACTGGAATCTGGCCCCTCCAGTTCACCGGTGAGAAGTGGCCAACTCCCCGTCTTCACTCATCTCAGATCCAGCCTCTGATACAGCAGTGCTGAACCCATTGGTTTGGAAATTGACATGAATTATAAAACACTTGACTGTCTGCTGAGCATTAAGTGTTGCCCCAAATATTTTCTGGGGCTGTTAAATTACTTGTATGTCATTATTTAATCACTCCTTCTGGTTCTGAATGCCTTCTGAATATACGTAACCCACGTTATGTCTGCTTTTCCCCCTCACATTTTTGGACACCTGATTAAAATCACAACCTGGAAGAGCACTTCTCAGCTTTTATTCATTTCTCCACTAAGTGAGAATAATTGCTACCTTCCCTTTCAGAACTTCCATTAACATTTGAGAACTGTGTGTTACCATCTTGGCTCATCTTTAGTGAGCTAGGGAGGAAAAAGCATCTTTAGTTTCCTAGGTTGCCACCATTTTAGCTCTTTCCCCATTACCCGGCCTCTGGGGTGAGACTCCCCCATGGATGGAGGAAGCCATCTCCTTCCCCTTGACCTTCTCTGCAGCTCCATGGGCCTTATGCACTTTTAGAAGCCATGCAATTTGGCTTCTGAATTAACAGAGGCCAAGAGGTGAGCATGTGGGCTGTGGCGTCTCACTGGCCACAGTTCAGACCCCGTCTCTGGCACACACCAGCAGCGTGACGTCAGGCAAGTCTGTGATTCAGTTGTCTCAGCCATCACGTGGGGCGAGGGCACTGACATCACAGGCTCTTGTGAGGATCCAGGGAGATGCTGCAAGTTACCTGGTAGCACAGCCTCAAATGCTAGCAGAAAATAGTGGGTTTACAGACAAGCCTTGCTTGTTTGATTGCTGTTCTTTTGTCATTTGTGATCACTCAATCACGTGCATGCTGGGTTCTTTCTCCCCTTCTCTTGCCTTCTTCTCCCTCGCCATATCTCTCATTTTTATGGTGGTAGGTCCTTTTTTTTTTTTAACTTTTATTGTCATTTTTTAAAATACCTCTAATCTTAGGTGTATAGCTTGATGGATTTTCACAAAACAAACACACCTATGTAAACAGAAGAAATAGACCATGAGCAGAACTCCCAGCCTCCTCTTACCGTTCTCTCCCCACGGGGTGGCCACTCTCCTAATTTCTAGGACAGTAGCTTCATTTTGCCTGTTTTGGGACTTGACATCAGTGGGATCATAGAGTCTATTCTCCTTTGTGTCTGGCTTCTCCCTCTCACCGTCGCATCTGTAAGCTTCATCCATGTTCTTGCAGATGGCAGTCAATGCTATGTAGTATTCCATTGTATGACTTTCTCACATTTTATGAATTCCATTGAGAATATTTCATTGTATGAATATATCACAATATTTTTTATCCTTGACTGTTGACGGATGTTTGAGTGGCTTCCAGTCCGGCTCAGTTATTACACCAAGTGCTGTAATTAACATTCTTGTGTGTAGATGTCTTTTGATGGATATAAACCCTGCTATCTGTGGGTTTATACTTAAGAACTGAACTGCTGGGTCACAGAGTGGGCATATGTTCCACTTTAGCAGATACTGCCAGGAAGGTGTAGCTCAGTGGTAGAGCACATACTTAGCATGCACAAGGCCCTGGGTTCAATCTCCAGTACCTCCATTTAATAAATAAGTAAGTAAATCAATCAATCAATCAGATACTGCCAAAGAGTTTCCCAGGGTGCTTACGCAGTGATATGTGGCTATACAGTGATGATCTCTTAAAGGAAGAGAAAAAATATATAGATATAATATAACAAATGCTCACAATTCCCACCACCTAAAATTAACAGCCGTTCACATTTTGTCATATTGGCTTTTAAGCTTTTAAAAATTCATTACAAAATATTTTAAATGTGCCCTAGAATACAGAGAAAGATGTAATGAATACACATGTATCATCATCCAGATTTAATACATGTTAATGTTTAGAAATGAAACATTTCAAATATAGCTGAGTCGTCCGTACCCCACCTCCCATTGGGAACCACTCCATGGAATGGTTGTGTGTCTTTCCTGTCTGTGGTTTTATACTTTTATTACATATGCTTAGGAGAGGGTATCCTTTTTATTACTTCACATAAAATGATATCAGTCTTATTATATCTTTTTACACTTTGTATTTTTCACCAATATTACCTTTTTGAATATTTATACATTTGGATGCATGGCCTTCTAATCATTAACTATAACTGCTGTATTTACTGATATTCTGTTGTGTGGATATTCAACGTTGTACGTATTTATTCTCCCTTTGATGGGCATTTAGGTTGTTTACAATTTTCCTTACCCAAACAGTTTTGCAGTGAGCATCCTTACATATCTCCTGCCACACATGCTTTAGACTCATAGGAGATGTACCTGTGAGTAAAGTCACTGGCTCGTAGGGCATGCTTGTCTTCAACTCCCCCTAGCTATTGCAAATCGCTCTCCAAGGTGGTGGCACCAAGTGTTCCTTCCCAACCAAGTGGATGAGAATTCCCATTGTTCTCAACAACCCTTGGCATCGTAAGACAGATCATTTATTTATGTTTGCCAGCATGACGGGAACAATATGGTATCTCATTGAGGTTTTCATCTGTTGGCCTGATTACTGATAAGGCTGATGATGTGTTCATGATTTTTGACCCTTCATATCTTCTCTTCCCTCTCTTGCCTGTTTGTATCCTTCAGTCATTTTTCCACTGGGGTTCTTGTCTTGTTGGTTTCTCTGATCCTTTTATGTTTTCTGGATGCCATCCTTGGTGCATTCCTTTTAAAAGGTATCACTCTTGTCTTCTCCTCCAAGAAACCTCTCTTGCTCCCCTCACAGTGGAGCCTACCACCTCTTCTTCCTCCCTGTTTCCCATGTGCTTGGCACCCATTTCCTTCACAGCCTCTATAATGCCTTAGTGCAGGCACTTGTTTACGCAGCTACTCTCCTCAGTGCTCTGATTTTCCAGAGGAGTGATAACTTCTTATCAGACTCTACACAGCAAGACACTGGCATGAAGCTCAGTACCAGTAGAGGCTGGATCAGTGGGTTTTGCACAAAGGAACACTAGGCCCCAGGTTATGTTCCTTAATGTGCACCCAGAGCCACCCCCCACCACAGTCCCTCTCCCTGAGATGGGGTCCAGAAAGCTTTGAGTGTCCTAGAAGTGGTGGGGCATGGTTTCCTTTGCTTCTTTGGGGAGCTGGTCTTCTCTACCGGTTCCCAATTACACTAAGCTTTGCCACCTCCTTGGAACTTTCTTGTCATTTCTTTCTCAGTTCTTCTGCCTTCTGAGGGAAAGTGAAGTTCTTTTTGTAATGAGTTTAGAAGCTTTTTTTAGTTAAGTGCCTGATCCCCATAAGCCCATGAAAATGGAACTGTTTTGTATCATAAAGGAGCCTTTGATGTTGGCTTTTAGCTCTCCCTCGTGAACTGGGCAGCCTTATTCCTAGCAGCAGGAAGTAAACAAGCCCTTCTTCACATCCGCAGGGCCATCTTACTAAGAATAGCAGCTATTCATTGAGTGCTAACCACATCCAGACCTAGTGCCAAGGACTTGGCCTGCACACTCTCTTTTAATCCTCTCAGCATCCTGGTGGCCAAGGAATTGTTATCCCTGCCCCACCTCATGCCACTGTGCATGTATCCCTCTTAGATCTTGAACCCTGGAGCTCTTTCAGGCCTCAGGGCCTTTGCACATATAGCTCCTTCTAAAACACTCCATCCCTCACTCTTCCTGTGACTGGTCTTTCTCATCTGTCAGGTCTCAGTTTAAATTCTACCTTCTCGTGGAAACCTCTCCTAACTACCCAGTATAAATTATCTCTCTCCATTAGGGGATTTTTCAGTCCCATTGTTTTTTTTTTTCCTTTGTAACATTAGCACATTTTGTAACTATAGTTATTTGTTTAAATGTGTGTGTATACATGCATGTGTTTTGGGGGAGGAAACCATTTAAGGATTTAATGGAAGAATTATAGGATCTCATTTTTATTTTGGAGACATTGCTACCATGTGGAGGATAGCTCGGTGGGGTAAGCAGGGAGACACCTTCCAGAGCATGGGCAGAATGTCTGCTCCTGGTACCAATGAGGTTTGGATTAGTACAGAGCCGTTGAGGACTGAGAGGGTCATTAACAGACCTGGAGAGGTGGGGTGAGACCTGCAGAGATGGAGCCTTAGGAAAGACAGACACACATAGGTGACTGTACTCTTT